GAACTTTGCTGCAAGACAGGCATATGTAACGATGACTTGGCACAGATAAAGTCGTGTCTTATTTATACTCTGTTCTACTGACAACAGGCCAGCGAAAAATCTAACAATCTACAGCAAAACCATCAATTATTATGGGCGTTATAACATAGGTGTGCAGCTGAACGAAACATACACGTCGAACCCCCCCAGACGATTTAAATCCCTGACGAATCATACACGACGAACCACGGCAACGGGTTAACAAGCTCAACAAATTGGTAGAAGAACAAAACACACAAAGGAAATAACCAACATAACATGTCTGACCTCATAATACTGTACATCATCAGTACACGTCCACATTAACGTCACAGACACAAAGAGTATAAATACACAGCACAACAAACCCTAAAATGGTAAAAAAACTCATCACACTATGAACAACCACAGGACGACATCAAAGGCAGGATGAAACAACAAAAACTCTTTAAAAAAACATAATAGCGTTGCTGAAATAATATAGTTGCAGAACCTTCTTCTCAAGAACAACAGGCGGCACACGTTCGGCCCTTGTCAAGAGGACACAAACCTATTTGGTTTCTAAATTCTAACTGAACAAACAAAAATAAAAATAAAAATTTAATATAGCAAGAAAGCCGCTGTAGTTGTAAACACTTTGGATTTTGTATTCATTTGTATATTATTAATATTGTATGTATATTTTAACGGTCAGAACATCTATTGTACGAATCGCAATAGTAGTTTCCAAACTGTATTGATGTCCCTCTGATGACGGTCTCCCAGGACCGAAACATATAAGGGCATGAAGAATTGAAATAAGAAAAATCCTCACCAGTCACACTGGACGGAACCGTTTTATCTTTTTATACTATGTGAAACATTACATTCTGGGATCCATGAACTCATCATTTCTATTTGGAATAAAGGACTGCCTTAACTGTGGAAGGAGTCTGTTATTATATACACTTAGAAAAACGGTGGTAAAATTGACTGCAGTAATTACTAAGACACATCAACGTTATCTTCATGTAAAATTATATCCACTAACTATCTCCTAACGTTCAGTCCATATGCAGACAAATTACTGAGGACCAATAGTGCGTGTTTCAGTCTGAAGTTCACCTACCAGTCAAATTGTCTGCATTCATTGGACACTGGAGAGATGACTTTCTAGTCCAGGGATCTCCAAACTTTTCGAACCGCGGGCCACATTAGGTAATTCAGCACTTTCAACAGTCCGGATAAAATGAGAAATTAATAACTCTATAGTCCATTCGCGGAGACCAAGAGTCCTTGT